GGCCTCCCGGCGTCCGCGTGGGCTGCGGGGAGCGAGGGGCGCTGCGAGGCCGCCGGGAGGGTGTTCCGGGCCGGGGCCGCCCCCGCCACGGCCGGCAGCCCTGGGTGTCGGTGGCCTTAGGGGACCCCTGTGCCGCAGCTCCCGCGAGTTGTCTCTTTCAGTCACTTTAATGTGTACAAGGACGGTAGCGAGCGCATCGGTGCAGTTTAAGAATGAAGCGAATACATACGTAACCCCGGCGTCTGCTTAGCAAAGAGCCTTACCGGAGTTCTGGAAGCTGTCCGCAATGCGCCCGCGTAGTTTTTCTGAAATGTAACTGAGATGGGAGCGAGATCTCTGAGCAGGTGGATAGGGTTAGTCCCCAGAACGGAGAGTGGGAGACAAGATTAAGTGCCTATAATCACGCCTTCGATACGAATCCTTTGCAATTCTAACTAGAAATCAATTATCAGCTCTCCACACTTGGTACAGAAAGCCACTTGCAGCCTGCCTGCGGTGAGAGCTAAAGCGACCACGTTCTGTAGCATTCCACGCCAGGAGTGTGGTCGCTCCTGGTCCGGAGAACAGAAGGCAGCTCCAACGCTATACTTTCCTGTTTCACCGTTTAGGACTGCTTGCTAACTAGGCTGGACACAAATTAAACACAGCCCTGAAAACACTGTGCAACTCGAGGGCCACAGTGAGCCTAAAACCCCGCAACACAAAACATCTGCACTGACATCTTAAGTCAGTGGTTTTTCCCATCTCCTAAAACAAAAATAGCTCACATATAGTTTGTTTATCAGGGCCTATTTAACTGGGTACTTCTTTACCTAGTGGGTGGCACATTTGGGCCCCTCTTCCACTTAGCTGGAAGCTTTGACTCTTTCCTAACAAACTGCTTACTATCCTCTCCGTTTTCTGGCGTCTAATGCTTCGTGAGCGTGAGACAGAGGACCTGGCCACCTTGTCCTGAATTCAACGCTGGCGCTGGGTCTCATCACCCAACCCCCCTGCATCATTACCAGCATACTTCATTGCTCAGTGTGAGGACTACTCCATATGCATGGGTCCCCAAACATTGTTTACTTTTGCAAGGCTTTTGGTCTTTATGTAAATGGAATATGAACACATACGGATATGCTCGACATGAACACTTAGATCTGTCCTGATACATTCAAGGCTTGCTCATTTTCACTGCTGTATAGACATTATCATTTACTCAGCAAAAATAAATATTGAATACACGTCCTATACCTGGCACTGTTGTAGATGCTGGAAGTTCACCAATAAGCAAAACCTCCATATACAAACAGCTTAAATTCTGGGAGAGTGAGAAGACAATAAACAGGAATAAATACGTTTTGAAGATAGTGATGAGTGGTGACAAGAAAAAGAAAGGGGAACAGGAGCCAGGGTGAGGAAGGAGGTAATGCAATTTTACAAAAAGTGGTAAAAAATCACTTGAGGTGACATTTGAATGAAGATCTGCAGAAGACAAGCGGGCCTCTTGAGTGTCTCTGGGAAGGCTTCCTGACCCAGTGAGAGGCACATCCAAATGCCCTGAGGTGGGGCATGCTGGCCGGCTCAGGGCACCGTAAGGGCACTGTCAGGGAAGCAAAAAGAAAAAAAGGGTGGCACCTCAGTGGCAAGGGGGCCAGAATGTGTAGGCTCTTAACTGGGTTTTATGTCACTAGATTTTATCCTAAGTGAGACCAAGACAGTTCTGAGCAGTGGAGCGTGACAGAGACAATCCTTGGTCAAATTTTAGTGGGGCTCCTCTGGGTCCTTTTTTTTTTTTTTTTTTAAACTGAGAGGGTTTTGCTATAGGGCACATGCACTCACCAGAAAGACAGACAGAAAACGAGAAATCACCCCCCAGGGGGGATGGTCACGCCACAATCCCTTCTCCTCCAT